AAAATTGTTTTAAATCAGTTAATTTAGTTGGAGGAGAAATAGCATCTTATTTTAATTTTTTATTTCTTTGAAAATATTTTGTATGTTGTGTGAACATTTGTATCTGTTTCTTTATTAAGAATATTCTTTGCCCTATTCGTAGCAATTATTTTATCTTTTTAATTTGATGGGATTATTTGTTTACAGTTAGCAGTAAAGTCTGTTGTTCTTCTTTGTGATTGCTTGAGAAGAGCTTATGATTTCATGAGATAAAACAGGTGTTTCTAGGAAGGCTTCGTATAAGAGGGAAAGGAGAAAGTAAGGTTGACCAGGGCACTGCATCTAGCTCATAGCCTTTAGGTCCAGGATGTTCACAATGGTTCACTGTAGTTTTGTATCACTTCTTGGCACAGCTCTGAGCTGCCTCCACTTTAACTAGGAAGCGGGAAGAGTAATTGTTTCTTTCATTATTCTTCTAAGCCAACTGCATTATGGGGATTGACCTAATGCTTAGCTCCAGCAGAGGTGGGTGGGACCTGGCAGAGCTGTTTCATAGCCTCTCTTCAAATCACTGATCCTCTTGAATGACTCTGCCTGATGGGGCTATGTGCCAAGGCTTGTCTGCTTGCCTCTTGCAGTGACAGTTCTGTTTGGTCTATAATGTAAATATCACTGCCCTGAAATCCTCCAGCTGCCCATGCTTTGTCACTTCTTCAAAGGGAACTGACTTGTTTTTCAATGGAGGAGAAACATTTGCTGCCCACACTCATTTGAAGTATTAAAAGGGGAGAAAACGAGCTAAGAGTAAGTGTTGTTTCATTCTTTGTATTCACATGGAAATTTTTCAATCTCCATAAAAGGATCAGGAGAAAAATCACATTGAAATTCAATACAAGCCGGGCGCGGTGGCTCAAGCCTGTAATCCCAGCACTTTGGGAGGCCGAGGCGGATGGATCACGAGGTCAAGAGATCGAGACCATCCTGGTCAACATGGTGAAACCCCGTCTCTACTAAAAAATACAAAAAATTGGCTGGGCATGGTGGTGCGTGCCTGTAATCCCAGCTACTCAGGAGGCTGAGGCAGGAGAATTGCCTGAACCCAGGAGGCGGAGGTTGCGGTGAACCGAGATCGCGCCATTGCACTCCAGCCTGGGTAACAAGAGCGAAACTCCGTCTCAAAAAAAAAAAAAAAAAGAAATTCAATACAAGAGCTCACAGCTTAACACAGAAATTTTCAAAGATGTTTGACTTGATCCTTTAAAAATTACAAAAACCGTGAACTGTGTAGCTCCGGGGTTCATAATTTTCCTTACCCTCCTCAGTCTCTGCCTCTATCTTGCTTTCCTACCTACACTCCAGATCTGTGTGGTCCTGTGTTAGCATGCAGAGCTTCTTTAAATGGGGGCTGGGAGAGTTAGTGGGAAGTATGCAGCAATTCAGGTTTATTGAGCTGCCAATACTTTATCCCTCTCTCAGGCCTGATTATCTCATCTCTTAGAATATTGTAACTGGTCTCCCTTCCTTCAGTTTCCTTATTCCAGGCTTTCTTCCACACTGCTACCAGAATTACCTTACTAACAGATAAAACTGATCATGTCACTTTCTTGCTTAAAAACTACCACTGTTGGCGACTTGTGATGGCTCACACCTGTAATCCCAGCACTTTGGGAGGCTGAGGTAGGAGGACTGCTTGAGTCCAGGAGTTCAAGACCAGCCTGGGCAAAATAGTGAGACTTTGTCTCTATAAATAATAAAAAAATTAGCTGGGCATGGTGGCTTGTGCCTGTGGTCCCAGCTACTTGGGAAGCCAAGGCAGAAGGATCACTTAAGCCCAGGCAATCAAGACTGTAGTGAGTTGTGATTGCACCACTATACTCCAGCCTGGGCAGCAGACCAAGACCCCATCTAAAAAGAAAAAATTACCACTGGCTTCTCAGTCCAGACTTTCTAGACTGCCACTGTAACTCCCCAGTGGGTTAATCTTACCTGCTGCTGAGATAGACAATTTATCAAGATGGGAGAATTGCAATAAAGAGCTTAATACACATAGAGGCAGCTAAATGGGAAACTAGAATTTTATTTTATTTATTTTGGTTTTTTGAGGCGGAGTTTCGCTCTTGTTACCCAGGCTGGAGTGCAATGGCGCAATATCGGCTCACCGCAACCTCCGCATCCTGGGTTCAGGCAATTCTGCCTCAGCCTCCTGAGTAGCTGGGATTACAGGCACACACCACCATGCCCAGCTAATTTTTTGTATTTTTAGTAGAGACGGGGTTTCACCATGTTGACCAGGTTGGTCTCGATCTCTTGACCTTGTGATCCACCCGCCTCGGCCTCCCAAAGTGCTGGGATTACAGGCTTGAGCCACTGCACCCGGCCAGAATTTTATTATTATTCAAATCAGCCTCCCCAAAAATTCTGAGGCTAGGGTTTTTCAAGGATAGTTTGGTGGGCAAAAGTCTAGGGAATAGGTGCTGCTGATTGGTTGGGGATGCAATCATAGGGTGTGGAAAACAGTCCTCTGCTGAGTCCAGTTCTGGGTGGGGGCCACAGAGGAGTCACTGGTCCCAGTGAAATCATCCAGTCATCAGAAATGCAAAACTTAGAGAAGACATCTTAAAAAGCCAGTCTTAGGTTCTACAGTAGTGATGTTACTTACAGGAATAACTAGGGAAGTTGCAAATCTTGTGACCTCTGGAACAATGGTAATATGAGAATTCAGGCCCCTCTTGAATCCTAAACTTGTACCTTTTTAATTAGTTTTATGAAGGCATTTTCATTTTGAGAAGAACTATTACCATTTAAACTATAAACCATAATAAATTTCTGGCCAAGCAGGGTGGCTCACATCTGTTATCCTAGCACTTTGGGAAGCCAGTGGGCAGATACCTGAGGTCAGGAGTTCGAGATGGCAAGATACCATCTCTACTAAAAATACAAAAATTAGCCAGGCATGGCAACGAGTGCCTGTAATCCCAGCTACTTGGGTGGCTGAGGCAGGAGAATCGCTTGAACTGCGAGGTGGAAGTTGCAGTAAGCCAAGATCGCACCACCACACTCCAGCCTGGGTGACAGAGCAAGACTCTGTCTCAAAAAAAAAAAAAAAAAAAAAAAAAAAAGCCGGGGCCAGGCACAGTGGCCCATGCCTGTAATCCCAGCATTTTGGGAGGCTAAGGTGGACAAATTACCTAAGGTGAAGAGTTCAAGACTGTCCTGGCCAATATGGTGAAACTCTGTCTCTACTAAAAATAAAAAAATTAGCCAGGCATGCTGGCGCATGCCTATAATCCCAGCTACTCAGGAGGCTGAGGCAGGAGAATTGCCTGAACCCAGGAGGAAAAGGTTGCAGTGAGTTGAGATTGTGTCACTGCACTCCAGCCTGAGTGACAGAGTAAAACTCCACTGGGGGAAAAAAAAAAAAAAAACAGCTGGGCATGGTGGCTTACGCCTGTAATCTCAGCACTTTGGGAGGCCGAGATGGGCAGATCACCTGAGGTCAGGAGTTCGAGACCAGCCTGACCAACATAGAGAAACCCCATCTCTACTAAAAATACAAAAAAAATAGCCGATGTGGTGGCACATGCCTGGAGAATTGCTTGAACCTGGGAGGCAGAGGTTGCAGTGAGCCAAGATCACACCATTACACTCCAACCTGGGCACCAAGAGCAAAACTCCATCTCAAACACAAAACAAAAAAGCTGGGCACAGTGGCTCATGTCTGTGATCCCAGTGCTTCAGGAGGCTGAAGCAAGCGGATCACTTGAGGCCAGGAGTCTGAGACCAGCCTGGCCAACATGGCAAAACCCCATCTCGACCAAAAAAATACCTAGGCCTTGTGGCATGCGCCTGTAGTCCCAGCTACTTGAGAGGCTGGGGCACAAGAGGCAGAGGTTGAACCCAGGAGGCAGAGATTGCAGTGAGCCTAGATCATGCCACTGCACTCGAGCCTGGACGATAGAGTAATACTGTCTAAAAAAAAAAAAAAAAAAAAAAATTAGCCGGGCATGGTGATTCTTCCACCTGTAATCCCAGCTTCACAGCTACTCAGGAGGCTGAGGTTGAAGAATTGCTTGAACCTGAGAGGCACAGGTTGCAGTGAGCCAAGATCACACCACTGCACTCCAGCCTGGGCAACAGAGTGAGACCCTGTCTCAGGAAAAAAAAAAAAAAAAAAATTCTCCCAAAGTTAGCTCAGCCTATACCCAGGAATGACCAAGGGCAGTTTGAAGGTTATAGCAAGATGGAGTTGATTAGGTCAGATCTCTTTCACTGTCATAATTTTCTCACTGTTATTCCTGTTTCACCACAAAAAGCTTTCATGGTGGGGCATGGTGGCTCATGCCTGTAATCCAAGCACTTTGGAGGCCAAGGCGGGTGGATCACCTGAGGTTGGGAGTTCAAGACCAGCCTGACCAACATGGCGAAACCCTGTCTTTTTAAAAAAAGAAATTACAATTTTTTATTTTAAAAAAAAAAAGCTTTCATGATCTGGCCCCCTTACCTACCTGATTAACTTCACCTCCTTCTACATTTCCTCTTAAACTCTTATAGGCTACTGTCCACTGGATCATGAATTCCTTAAAGTCAGAAACAATATATTTCCAAGGCCTAGCATGGCAACTGGCATATATGTAAATGCTATATAAATTAATTAGTGATATAAAATTCTAATAAGGTCACAGTGTGAGAGAACACTGAAAAACATGTGCTAGTCTCTCACCTCTCTGCTTTCCATTGCTAAGTATAAATAAAAACATGAATAAAAAAATATACAGTGTACTAATGATTGAGTCCCTTCTTCCCGGTATAGATTCCAGGTCACTCAGACCCAACGTCCTGTCTCAATACCCACCAGGAAGCACTCTGCTTCTCCAAACTGCCAAGTCCATGCCACATTTGATATCTGACAGTTTCAAGGTGCTATGACGGGAAAGGATTTGGCTTTTCCTTGTATGCACAGAGCTTTTGATCCTGGTAGGTTCCAGACAGATTTCTCATATTTGGCCATTCTTTCTTCCTAGGTCAATCACTTCTATCCGGAGTGAACTGATTCCGTATCTAGTGAGAAAACAGTTTTCCTCAGCTTCCTCACAACAGGGACAGGAAGAAAAAGAGGAGGATCTAAAGAAAAAGGAGCTGAAGTCCTTAGGTCAGTGCTTGGGTTGCTTCAGGAAGAGGTGCAAGGGTAGCAGCACCTTTGGAAAGAGTGGTTGGGCAGCTTAGCCCAGCCCAAGATGCCTGTCTCAAGGCAGCAGACTGTTGTCTAGTTTACAAGGCAAGACAGATGTGCCAACCCACTCCCTGAGCCCTGGGTAAGCTTGCTCAGGCAGATCCTGTCACTGTGCTCTCATGTGCCTCCGCCTCCATTCTCTGATTCATAGCTCTGGTTTAGCTGTGTTCCTCACTAGACCATTTTGCCTTTAAACTCCACCTGCTACTTATTCCCCTGTTCTCTAGGCTCTGGGCAGTCCTGTTCCTAATTAAACTCAGCCTCTTTTATCAAGGGAAGGAAGGTGAAGGAATGTACAATTGCAGTCCAGCCACAGGCCAACCAGCTGTCTCCATTCCAGGATCTGAAGATGAGATCTGTCTTGTTTGCTGTCATATCCCTAATCCCTGGCCCAGGCGTGGGCTCATAGTAGATGTTCTGAAAAAGTATTTGTCAGATGAATAAACTGACAGTGCAGCATGCTGATTAGAACTGTCTGATATAGAGCTGGGCATCAGACACTTCTGGATTTGAAATCTGACTCTGCCTCTTACTAGCATTGTGATTTGAGGCAGGTTACTCAGTCCTCTGAGCCCCAGTTTTTTTTTATGAGAAAGTAAAAGATCTCAAAGGGTCATTGGGAGAGCTGAAAAACTAGAGCCCTGGTACTGCAGGCTCCAAGTTCTGTGCTCTTTCTGTCATAGCACAGCTACCAGGTATGGTAATAGAGACTAGTAGCACAAAGTCAACCCAGCTGCCACTAAAGCCTGGACACTTGCTTGTGTTATTTCATGATTTACAAGGGCCATCTGTTTTATTTTCCCTAGAGGTCTTGACTACTGGTCAAACACGCTTTTAGGACCTCTTTTTAAGCATTTTTATTTCATATGATATTTCAGGGAAATACATTGCCTCTTTTAGCTTTCTCTTACAGATTTTAGTGGGATTTCCTCAGGGTTCATGTTTTATGGGTGAGTTCCATGGGGAGATGTGTGAACTGTAATGTCTTTCAAAACTTAACTCAGAGCCAGGCATGGTGGTGCATACCTGTAGTCCTAGCTGGTCAGGAGGCTGAGGTGGGAGGATCGCTTGAGTCTGGGAGTTTAAGACTAACCTGGACAACATAGCAAGACCTTGTCTCTTTAAAAAAAAAAAAAAAAAAAACTTGACTGAGTATATATCTATTCTGTATCTCGCTCTCATTTATTTCCTTGGTTTGGATGTTTGTTCTGAAGATATTTACAGTTTTATAAAAGAAGCCAATACACTGAACCTGGCTCCCTATGATGCCTGCTGGAATGCTTGTCGAGGAGACATGTGGGAAGACTTGTCCAGATCGCAGGTGCGCTGCTATGTCCACATCATGAAAGAGGGGCTCTGCTCTCGAGTGAGCACACTGGGACTCTACATGGAAGCAAACAGACAGGTGAGAGTATGAGCTTAGAAAGAAAATTGTGGGGCTCCTGTCCTAGAAATAGGCTGAGCCATGTGTCTGTTTCTTCATTAGGTAACTTGTTAAGATTCCCTGTCATTCCCCAGGTTGAGCAAGACCTGGCATGTCAAGGAGACTGCTAGGGTACTCAGGTGCAGCCAAAAGGGAAGCTGGGGGCCTGGTCCATAGTCAGGGCCTCTGTGGCTCCAGGGAAAAGCTAAGATCTTCAGGAAAGCTAACTTCTGGCCTCTGGGTCAGCAGCTTCTCCTATTCTGTTCAGCATGGGGATATCTCCAGTACTTACTTCATAACAAGCAGGTAAATACTCTAATCATTACTCTCATGAAGTAAACAGAGGCATACAGAGGAGGCTTCCCTGAAAAGGTGAAGGAGCAGAGTATACAGTGGCCAGATGGCAAAGCCTCAGGAAAGAAATGTCTATGAGAGAGAGTTATCTGCAAACAGCATTAATGAGGAGTCCCTTGCTAGCCCCTCCTTTTAACCTTGAAGTTGTTGAGAGATGGAGAACAAGAGAAAAAAAATAGTTTCCACTGGGAGAAGCAGTGTCCTCAAAGATAAGCCAGGCCTTAATGAAGGCAGTGGGTGGAGAGGGGGACAGTAAAGAGGCTAAAGGTGTGGAGGAACTCTGTATTGTGTAGTGAGCCCAGGAGGAAGGTTTTGGGAGGGAGGGATAATGAGACAGGAAAAGGAAATGCAGAGCAGTAGAGAGTTTAGATGAGAATAAGAAAAGAGTCCAGGCACGGTGGCCTATACGTGTAATCCCAGCACTTTGGGAGGTCGAGGCCAGTGGATCTCTTGAGCCCAGGAGTTTGACACCAGCCTGGACAACATGGCAAAATCCTGTCTCTACAAAAAATGCTACAAAAAATTAGCCAGATATGGTGGCATGTGGCTGTAGTCCCAACTACTTGGAAGGCTGAGGCAGGAGGATCACCTGAGCCCAGGATACAGAGGTTGCAGGGAGCTGAGATCTCACCACCACGCTCCAAACTAAGCCTGAGCAAGACAGTAAGACTCTGTCTCAAAAAAAATTTTTTAAAGACAGTAAGAAAAGATAAATAATAGAGGGAACTACATTGGGTTGGCATTCAAGGGTAACAGAGGTAAGATAATGAAAAGTTTAGTTATTGACATTGCTCCTAGCAGAATCCTATGAAAATATAATTGCAGATGCAAACCAGGGTGGCAGTGGGGTGCATAGTAATACAAAAGAAATTGTTGAAAATTGGAATTGAGGGCGGATGCGGTGGCTCACACCTGTAATCGCAGCACTTCGGGAGGCCAAGGCAGGTGGATCACCTGAGGTCAGGAGTTTGGGACCAGCCTGGCCAACATGGCAAAACCCCACCTCTACTAAAAATACAAAAATTATAAAGCCCCTTGCCAACAAAAAAAAAAAAAGAAAGAAAAATAAATACAAAAATTAGCAGAGCATAGCATGGTGACGCATACCTGTAATCCCAGCTTCTCGGGTGGCTGAGGCAGGAGAATCGCTTTAACCTGGGAGGCAGAGGTTGCAGTGAGCCCAGACTGTACCACTGCACTCCAGCCTGGGCAACAGAGTGAGACTCTGTTTCGAGAAAGATGATCAGAATTGAGTCTCTGAAGAAAACCTGGCTCAGGAATCTGTAGGACCCACACCGAGTGAAACCTCAGGCGGGCCTCAACCTGGATTGGTTACAGATCCAAGGGAATCCAAGCCAGAGAGCTTATGCGAAATCATAGCTAGTCTCACATTTACCTGTGACTAGAGTCTTTCAGACTGGTCTGGAAAGGTGTTCATGGATGACCTGAGTGGGAAGACTTGTCCAGATCACAGGTGCACTGCTATGTCCACATTATGAAAGAGAGGATCTACTCTCACGAACATACTGGGAAGAGTATCCTCTGAAGTGCCAGCAGGGGCTATGCAGCAGACAGGCCCAAAAGGCCTTGGGTGGAGCGTGGAATAAAAGATCACAGGGCTGGAGGCTGGGGATTAGCCTTCACATTCCAATGTCGCCGTGCTCACAAGGCTTCCATCAGCTGGTGTGGCTGCCACACACGGTCTTCTAACTAGCATTCTGCCTGTGCTGGAGAATCACAGACAGGCACACTACCTCTGCCTTCCTAATGGACTGGTACCCAAAGCTCCCCATACCTCTAGCCTTTTCAGGTTTCTCACACTGGAGAGGGAACAGTGTGAACTTCCCCTTCATGTTTTCTTTTGGCTGGTGGATGGATGCCTTCTCAGGATCTGTCCTTGTTTTGGAATTTGTCTAAAATTGATCTCATCCTCACCTCATGCATGGTCACAGTGGTCCAAGAGGTGACCAGGAACCCAGGATGCCTATGATCAGGATTCAGGGTGTTCCTTGCCCTGTAAGTCCTCCTTTCCCAAGAAAGTGCTATGTGGATATCTCAAAGACTTGTCTCACTGCCTCCCAGCCAAGGGACATGGCATTACTTTCAAGGAAGAGCATTCACAGCTAAGAGACTGAGAATAAGGCCATCTAGAAGCTGCTGCATAAATAATCCTGGTCCTAGTGGGAATGAAGCAGCCTCCTGCTCTCCCTCACTCAGACAGGAAGCTGTGGCTAAGAACTCCCTGTATCTCTGATTAGACATTGGGTTCTACCTAGGCGTTTTCAGATCTTTAGTAAACAAATCTCTGTCCTCAAGGTGCCCAAATTGCTGTCTGCTCTCTGTCCAGAAGAACCACCCGTCCACGCATCAGCCCAGATTGTCAGCAAACACCTGGTAAGTGCTAGTGTGGGCAGGGCAGGCATGGGATGTTCTTTGGGAGCATTGAGACTTGTCTTTGAGAAGCCAGATTGCAGCCTTCAAGTCCTGAACCTTGTTAGCCCCAGGGAAATCACAGCAGGTTTTGACAATAAAATCTCACTCAACAAGACTGCCTGGACAAGTGCTGACCTTGTAAGGAAGGGTCTATTACAAGGTCAGACACAGGAGCTCTCAATCTGTTCTCCTTCTAACTCTGATTTGAGCACTCTCTTTAAGAGAGCACATCTGTACACAGAAGTGCATGAATGTGTATATGTGTCTGTTGTTTGTTTTGTTTTGTTTTCTTGGCAAGGGAGGAAGGCCCATGCTTCAGTTAGGTTTGAGGTGATCTCAGAGGTGTTATGTGACCTTGTGGCCCTGAGAAATACTGATGATGGTCCCTCTTGCTGATGTATGTCTATAGGAAAGATCCCATTAGATTCCACCTTGAGGGATCTGGAGGGTGGTTTGCAGCTGGTTGAGATGGATGGACAGGGTTTTACATTTTGCCTTTTACAGGTTGGAGTTGACAGCCTCATTGGGCCAGATACACAGATTGGAGAGAAGTCATCCATTAAGCGCTCAGTCATTGGTTCATCCTGTCTCATAAAAGATAGAGTGACGATTACCAATTGCCTTCTCATGAACTCAGTCATTGTGGAGGAAGGGTATGTTTCCCCATGTACCCACTTGAGGCAAAGATAATGGAAAAATGCCTTCAAAGCATTTTTAGTAGAGGAAGAGCAAGATTGGCAGAGTGGGAGGTGAGAAGATTATGAGTTCCATCTGGGACAAGTTGAATGCATGGTAATGTACAGGAGGCCTTGATCTACAGGGCTAGAACTTAGGAAAGAAGCTTGTGCTTGAGGTACAAGTTTGGAAGTGGTGGGCATAGAAGTGATAACTTAAGGCTGGGTGTGATGGCTCATGCCTGTAATTCCAGCACTTTGGGAGGCTGAGGTGGGTGGATAAGCCCAGGAGTTCAAGACCAGCCTGGGCAACAAGGCAGAACCCCATCTCTACCAAAAATACACAAATTAGCCAAGTGTGGTGGCACGCACCTGTAATCTCAGCTACTCTGGAGGCTGAGGCAGGAGGTTTGTTTGAACCCTGGAGGTGGAGGTTGCAGTAAGCCAAGATTGCACCACTGAACTCCAGCCTGGATAACAGAGTGAGACTCTGTCTCAAAAAAAAAAAAAAAAAAAAAGTGATAACTGAAGCCTTGGGAGTAGAGTGGGTGAAATCACCCAGGCAGGGAGAGTGTGTGACATGAAAAAAAAAGAAACCAAAACAAAACCTTGGGAAATGGGAACAACCAACCGCAAGCAATTTTAGACATAAGAAAAGGAATCTAAGGAAACTAACAAGGAATGAGCAAGGAGGGGACATATGGGGTAAGGGAGAGGACAGTTGACAAGTGAAGCCCAGGTTTCCAGTTAGGGAAAAAGTCGATGGTGATACACTCACTGAGATGAGGAAGGAGGGGCAGATTTGTGTGAGACAATGTCTGTGTAGATCACAAGAGGTTGGAAGTGCCTGTAGGACATCAGGTATGTGGAGATGTCTGGTGTTCAGTTTGTGGTTAGAGCTTAAGAAAAGAGGTCAGACCCAGAGATATAAAGTCTTTGTCTCTTTCCCAAATCATTCTTGTGATATTTTCTCTCTCTCCTCTCTCTCTCTCTCTCTCTCTCTCAATGGGGTCTATCTTTGTCCCCCAGGCTGGAGCGCGGTGATGTGATCATGGCTTACTGCAGCCTCGACCCCCTGGACTCAGGTGATTCTCTCACCTCAGCCTCCTGAGTAGCTGGGACTACAGGCATGTGCCACTGTTTTTTAGTAGAGACCAGGTTCTTTTCGGAGCACTGAGACTTGTCTTTGAGAAGCCAGATTGAGGCCTATGTTACCCAGGCTCAAATTTCTGAGCTCAAGCAGTCCTCCCCTCCCACCTCAGCCTCCCACAGTGCTGAGATTACAGGCATGAGCCACTACACCTGACCATTTTGGTGTTCTCTAACTTATTTTTCCTGTCTTCATCATTCTTTGTCTTCTACATTTACTCTTCCCTCATTGTTCTTATAAATTAGAACATGAGGTCTGGAGTCACACTGCCTAACTCAGGCATCCCCAAACTACGGAATGCGGCCACCTAAGGCCATTTATCCGGCCGCCCGCCACACTTCAGGAAGGGGCACCTCTTTCATTTGTGGTCAGTGAGAGGAGTACAGTATGTGGCAGCCCTCCAACAGTCTGAGGGACAGTGAACTGGCCCCCTGTGTAAAAAGTTTGGGGACACCTGGCTAACTGAATCCTAGGTCTGTCACTTATTAGCCTCTTAAAGAATTGGCCAAATTAGCTGGGCATGGTGGTGCATACCTGTAGTCCCAGCTACTCAGGAGGCAGAAAAATTGCTTGAACTCAGAAGGTGGAGGTTGCAGTGACCTGTGATCGTGCCACTGCACTCCAGCCTGAGTGACAAGAGTGAGACTCTTATCTAAAAAAAAAAAAAAAAAAAAAAAAGTCCTTACCTCTTTATGCCTGATTTCTCATTATAAAATGTGGTAAAACTTAACTACCTTGTAGGTTTATTGGGAGCACTAAATTAGTTAGTAAATATAAAGCTTTTTTTTTTTTTTTTTTTTTGAGAGAGAGTCTCACTCTGTCACCCAGGCTAGAGTGCAGTGGTGTGACCTTGGCTCACTGCCACCTCCGCCTTCCGGGTTTAAGCAGTTCTTCTGCCTCGGCCTCCTTAGTAGCCGGGATTACAGGCACACATCCCCACACCCAGCTAATTTTTGTTTTTAGTAGAGACAGGGTTTCACCATGTTGGCCAGACTGGTCTCAAACTTCTGACCTCAAGTGATGATCTGCCCACCTCGGCCTCCCAAAGTGCTGGGATTACAGGCATGAGCCACTGCACCCAGCCATATAAAGCATTTAGAAGTTAGTTGCTATTTTTATTTATTATTGTTATTGTTATTATATTACCACTTTATCTCATTTGACAAAGATGGCATGTTGCCAACATTGTCTTTCTGAAGAATATCTCTGATCAGATCTTTGTTCTATTAAAGACCTTTTGAAAGTTCCCCCTAACCTTTAGAAGACATTGGAACTTCATTTCTCATGGTCTGGCTCCAACACTTAGTCTAGAATGCTATTGTGGGATGAGGCCTTAGAAGTCATCCAGCTGGCCGGGCATGGTGGCTGACACCTGTAATCCCAGCACTTTGGGAGGCTGAGGCAGACGGATCATGAGGTCAAGAGATCGAGACGATCCTGGCCAACATGGTGAAACCCCGTCTCTACTAAAAATACAAAAAAATTAGCCGGGCATCGTGGTACGCGCCTGTGGTTCCAGCTATTCAGGAGACTGAGGCGGAAGAATTGCTTGAACCCAGGGGGCAGAGGTTGCAGTGAGCCAAGATTGCACCACTGCACTCCAGCCTGGTGACAGAGCAAGACTCCATCTCAAAAGAAAAAAGAAGTCATCCAGCTGAACTCCTAAATTTTTATGGATGAATAAATTGTAGCATTCCAGACTTTTTTCTCATTGCACCCCTGCTATGCCGTGTTCCCTTCCAGACTCCTGGATAAGACTGGCAAACATCACCATTCTCTTTTTTTTTTTGAGATGGAGTTTCGCTCTTGTTACCCAGGCTGTAGTGCAATGGCACGATCTCGGCTCACCGCAACCTCCGCCTCCTGGGTTCAGGCAATTCTCCTGCCTCAGCCTCCTGAGTAGCTGGGATTACAGGCACACGCCACCATGCCCAGCTAATTTTTTGTATTTGTAGTAGAGACGGGGTTTCACCATGTTGACCAGGTTGGTCTCGATCTCTTGACCTCGTGATCCACCCGCCTCGGCCTCCCAAAGTGCTGGGATTACAGGCATGAGCCACCGCGCCCGGCCCCACACCATTCTCTCAAACCAGAACTACACTTGCCTTCATCCATTTGATCACCTGGTTCCAAGTAACTCATGAGGCTTTGTAACTTTTGTTCTCTCAGACCTTCCAATGAAGACAATGGCATAACTTCCCCATATGCTTTAATTATCAACCTTTCCCTGCCTTCTGTGGGTGGACAGACAAAGTAGCAGCTCTCTAACACCACATTAAAGTCCAGTATTAGGGCTGGGCACAGTGGGTCACACCTGTAACCTATAATCCCAAGATTTTGGGAGGCTGAGGCACATTGCCTGAGCTCAGGAGTTCAAGACAGTCTGGGCAACATGCAAAACCCTGTCTCTTAAAAAAAACAAAACCAAAAAAAAAAAATGCCAGTGTCAGTGTTTGTATCCTAATTGACATGAAGAGACTTGGTGAGGAAACCATGGCTCCCTAAGATACTACAGCTTCCTATGTGAGAAAAGTTCAGAGCAAAGGCTTGGCATATTTCATGGTCATTTGCTGTTTTGGAGGAGACAAGTTCTTATTCTGTCATCCAGGCTAGAGTGCAGTTGTGCAATCATGGCTCACTGCAGCCTCAAACCTCCTGGGCTCAAGTGATCTTCCCACCTCAGCTTCCCTAGTAGCTGGGACTACAAGCATGTGCCACTACATGGCTAGTTTTTGTTTGTTTGTTTTTTTATTTGTTTGTTTAGAGACAGAGTCTCACTATGTTGCCTAGGCTGGCTACTTCTTTTTTAAATAAAAAAGTTGAGGTAAAGCTATAGGCAGCCCACATAAGACTAATGAGTAGGAAGGCCATTAGAGATTACCCAATCCTGCGAATTAGCTCCTGCTGATAAGATCAGGCATCCTACATCCCATATGAACTTTTTCCCATTATTTTGGGGTCACTTAGTTTTAATTATGGCAAACTTGGGAAAGGTAATTAAATTGCGATTAAGTGAGACTTGATTACCCTGCTGCTATTCTGTCTTGGCTAAGTGGCAAAGTAAAAGCATAAAATTGTTCAGAAGGGAGTTTTTCATATTCTTTGTGTGCTTGTCTCTGCCAGCAGTGGTGGGCTGCTGAGGCTTGAAAGCTTGCCGAGGCTTTCTGGACACCTGCCCAAAGTCTTCAGGGCTTGAGGGATGTTAATAGGACCACCTTGGAGAAGGTGTAGATGAGACTATTCAGAGAAAGCTCCTGCCCGTCTTTCTCATGTTCTGGCATTTTATATGACAGCTGATGCTCTGGAATCTACCGTGTAGTGAACACTTCATTGTCAAGGCTTGAGTGTCAGCCCTGTTTTCTGCATCTTTTGTCCCCTGGTCCCAAGCAACCTCTCCTGCATTTCCCCCTAATCCAAGGTGCATGACCCAAGCAGTAGTCTAGGGTAGCATCTTCACATGCTGGCAGGCTAGAAAGCCAGGTTCTCACCTAGGTTTTCCATGCGTTTTGCAGTTAGCAAGTGTAGCCCTCAGCACCTGATAAGAAATTACTACTTCTTATCATTACCCTGAATGAGCTACACTCAACTGACTGCCCTGCCCACTGGGTTCCTTACATTTCTACTTCCCTTTATTTCTAACATTCACCCTGCTTGAATCACCTCTCTTTGGAGCTCTTACCTGTGAATATCCTATCCATCTTGCAAGATCCAGTGCATTTTCCAACTCTTTCATGCAGCTTTCTTAAATTGTCATAGCCAGCCAGTCATGGTGGCTCATGCCTGTAATCCCAGCACTTTGGGAGGCCGAGATGAGCCAATCACCTGAGGT